GCTGCGTCTCCGTGTCCAGCACCAGCCACCTGTAGGGGGATGGGGGGTCAGGGCCCCTGGAAAAAAAAGGGCCTGAGGGAGGGGGGGGCACCAGCTGCCCCCCACCCCCGCCCCAGGGGGGGCAGTTACCGTCCAGTGTTGAGTCCCACGGCCGCCACCTGCCCGCTGGGGTGGAAGTCAGCGCACAGCCCTGTGTCCTGGGGGATGGGAAGTGTCAGCCGGGCCCAGCAGCCCTCCAGGCTGCAGGTCCAGCACCCCCAAGTGCCCTCCCAAATGTCCCCCCTGAGGCCACAGACCGCTCCCCAAACACCCCCACAGGGCTGTAGAGTCCCCCAAGACTCTCCTTGACGCCACAGCCCCCCAAACGCCCCCCCCAACCCCACCTCGAGGAGCAGGCTCCAGGCCAGGCTGTGGGCAGCGCCGTCCCATAGGCAGAGCTGTCGGTCGTGGCCGCAGGTGAGGAAGACGCAGAGCCGCGGGTGCGTGGCCAGGCCCCACAGTTCATCTGTGTGCCCCTGGGGGAGCAGAGCAGGCTGTGACCCCCCACCCAGCTCATCCATGTGCCCCTGGGGAGGGGAGAGGCTGTGCCCCCTTGCCCCCACCCCACAGCCCCTCCACATGAGCCCCTGGGCAGGGAGCCAGCTGTGACCCCCCAACCCCACTGCAGCTCGTCCGAGCACCCTGAGGCAGCAAGGGGGGCTCAGACACCCCCAGCCTCTGCCAGCTCTAACCATCCCCCCAGGACTCCCACCGCTCCCTTCTGGCCCCATAGCCCCCCCACAGCCCACTCGGCCTCCCTACAGCACATCCAGATGCTGCTGGGCACATGAACGGGGCAGGCTGGGAACCTCCAGCCCCCCAAGGCCCCCCCAGTTTAGCTATACCCCCCATTACCTGGACAATGGGGACGAAGCCCTGGGCCAGCCCCCCCCGCAGCACCGCGTTGCGTGTCGTCCCCACCAGCAGCTCCCCCCCGGCACCTTCTGCGATGGTGCGCACGGCCCCAAACCGCTCAGGCAGCTGGGGGGGGGGGAGGGGGGTGTCAGGGGGCAGCTGGAACCGCCCTGCCCGGCCCCCAGAGCTGGGGAGAGCCCAGCATCTGGGCTCCCAGCCCCCGCTGCTCTCATCCCCCACTGCCCCCGAGGACCCCGGCATCCGGGCTCCCTGCTCTCAACCCCCACTCCTACTCCCTTCCCCAGGCTGGAGACAACTCAGGCACCCAGTCCTACCATCTCTCACCCCCCAGCCTCGCCACCCAGAGAACCCAGGTGTCCAGCCTCCCAGCTCTCACCCCCAACACCGCCCCCGAGAGAAACCAGGTGTCCAGCCCATCACCTCGGCCTCCTGCAGCAGGCTGAGCTCGGGGCTCCAGTGCACGAGGCGCCGGTCCTTGCCCCCCCCGCTCAGCACAGAGCCGTCACGGCGCAGACACAGTGCGAAGACGCTGCCCTCGTGTGCGTGGGTCTGTCGCCCGATTTGATACGTCTCTGCAAGGGGATGGGGAGGTCAGTGCGGGACCCAGATGTCCGGGCCCCCAGTCCCCTACTCTCCCCCCCAATGCCCCCTCCCCCTCCCAGAGCTAGAGAAAACCCAGCCCCCCGTGCTCTCACCCACTCCCCTCTGAGAGCTGGAAAGAGCCCAGGCATCCAGGCCCCTCTGCAGAGGGAACCCAGGCATCCAGTGGTCCATACCTTTGGCGGAACGGGGGGGGGGTGGGGGTGGGGGGGGAGCAGGAACCCAGACCCCCTGCTCCAAGCCTCTGGGCCTGAGAGAACCCAGGTGTTGGGGGATGAGAACAGGGGAGCTGGGAGCCTGGACACCTGGGATGTCTCGAGCCTGGGGAAGGGAGCACGACTGGGTGTGGAGAGCAGGGAGCCCAGACACCTGGGTTCAATTCAGCTCTGGGAGGGGAGTGGGGTCTGGGTGACAGGGCGGGGAGACTGGGGGCCTGGATGCCTGCGTTCTCTCCAGCTCTGCGACAGGGTGGGGTGAGAACAGGGGGGTCTGGGAGCCTGGACACCCGGGTTCCCCCCGCACTCGGGGAGGGCAGGGGGTGAGGCCTGGGTCCCGCTGTCCCACCCCCAGGCCACATACCCCAAAGATGCCCTGCTTCTTGCTGAGGCTGGCTCCGCTCCAGGTCCAGAAGTAGACGTGGGATTTGCCCCCGGTGATGATGCGGCTGCTGTCTCGCGGGTCGAACTCCACTGTCAGAACCGACTCATTTGTGCTCTGGGGGGGGGACGCGGGCAGGGGGGTCAGCGCACTGCCCGGACACCTGGGTCCCGACAGCGTAGGGTGGCTGGGAGCCTGGGGGATGGGTTCTCTCCAGCGCTGGGAGGGGACTGGGGGTGAGACCAGGGGGCTGGGATCCTGGACACCTGGGTTCCCCCACCACTGACCTTGATCTCGGCCTGCTTGGTGCCGCGAGCCCAATCCCAGACCGACATCATGTGCTCATTGGAGTCATCCACCACGCACAGGAAGGTGCCCTGCTCCTGGGGAGTGTAGGGGGTGGGAGAGGGTCAGGCATGGGGGGGACAGGCACCATGCGGGGGAAAGGGGCATGGAAACCCTCCTCTTTGGACCTGCCAGAGGCCAGGGATGCAGGCAGGAACCCCATACCTTGCCACATCATCCCCCAAACCACCCTCCATGGCCCCCCCAGCCCCCCCTTCTCCATGCCCCCAGCAGTGGGAAGGGTCCCCAGCTGGACTCACGGCGATGGAGAAGGCGAGGGAGCCGACACCACGCTCAAAGCTGCCGGAGCCGAGCTGCTGTAGCAGCAGGAGCGAGGACGAGTCCCAGATGTGCACCAGGGGCTGCAGCGGCTGTGGAGGGGGGCACAGGGTCAGCACCCAGACGCTGGGGTTCCCTGCCCCAGCACGGGGTGTGGGGGGGAAGCAGGGAGCCCGAATGCCTGGGAGGGGAGTGGGGCTGGGTGTGAGAACAAGGGGGTGGGAGCCCAGATGCCTGGGGTCTCTGGCAGAGAAGGGGGGCTGGGGGTGAGAGCATGGGGCCTCAGCTGACTTGACTCATCATCATCTCCCTGCTGATCTCTTCACCCTGTAGGTGTTAACACCCCCCTACCTCCATCCTCCAGGTCTCCAAGGCTAGCGGAGCTGTCACCCCTCAGCCTGGCCTGCGTCTCCTTGCAGCTTCACCACCCCACGAAGGCCCGTTCTGCTTTACATGTGTAAACAAGACGTTTGGGACTACACTGTCTCGGGGCGATTCTAGTCTGGCTTCTTGTGGTTTTGCAAGTGAATGGAGGATTTAGGCATTAACGCCTCTAGTTCCTTGTGGTTTTTAAACTCAGTGGAGGCTCTGGCCATTAATACATCTGGTTTCTTGTGCGCTTTCAGTTGAAGATCGAAGCTAGCCATGGGCGCACCTCCCAACACTGTTATATTTCTTTTTGCTTTAATTTTAAACTGAAATCTCCAGGCACCAGCTGATCTCACCTGGTGTGCGGCCGCCCAAGGACCCTGGTGTATGAGAAAGCCTCGTTGCTCTCCCATGGGAGGTGGTTGTGCTACACGGGGCATCACACCACACCCCCCGCGCCCCCTTTCCTACACCCTGGATGCACCCATGGACCGAGCAGTCTTCCCTTCTGCTGCCCCCCATCCCGGCCTGCCCATGTCCCCCTGCTCTTCCTCCGCCCCATAGATGAGTCTGACCTCTCACGGACAACCTCATCTCCAGCCACATCATATTAGCCCAGGGCAACGGTACTCGGGAACAGAGATAGCATGGTGGCAGATGACGGAACAAGGAGCAACGGTCTCGAGTTGCAGGAAGGGAAGTTGAGGTCAGACATTAGGAAGAGCTTTCTCACGAGGAGGGTGGTGAAGCACTGGAGCAGGCTCCCCAGAGAGGTGGTGGAGTCTCCATCCTTGGAGGTTTTGAAGACCCAGCTAGACAAAGCCTTGCCTGGGATGATGGAGTTGGGGCTGGTCCTGCTTGGAGCAGGGGGTTGGACTAGATGTGACCTCCTGAGGTCCCTTCCAACCTGAATTTTCTATGATTCTAGTAAAATCCCCGCTGACCCGGCAAGCTGGGGTGCAACGCACCTACCAGAGATGCCCATGGAAGTCTGCAGGGCTACAGAAACAGCAGCTGCAGCTGACTTTTGCCCGGTGCCTTGTGCTTTTAGATGTAACATCTCTCTCTATACCTAACACGGGACATTTTTATATGGCATATACATGAAGTTTATATGCAATATGTGTACACAGGACACATTGTGGACAATCTACAGTCTCGCCAACTCTCATGATGTTTGGCAAAGAATAACACCAAAAATCATGAGAGTTGGAAACACTGAATCTATTATATATGTAAGAGATTAACTCAGGTTTTGCGGATGATCTATTATATATGTAAGAGATGATGCTGGATACACACCGCAACTGTTTTGCTAACAATGCTATATCGTGACATAAGGATTATTTTTGCCTTGGTCATGGTGTTTTTAGGCACCTTCTATGTTTTTGTAGGTCATACAGAATTCGATGCAGAAATTACATGCTGTATATATAGTATGTGTTTCACACGCAACAGACTTTAGAGAGAATTGATGATATAATATAGATACAGCCCTGCTTTCCCTGTGGCAGGTTCGGTGTTAGGTCTGTGCTGTGTCAGGGTTGATGGCACTTTTATGTGGAGTTTAGTGGATGGTTTATGGCTTGGTTTAGACAAGACTGACCCTGTTTCAGGCAAGGGATTGGACTAGATGTGACCTCCGGAGGTCCCTTCCAGGCCCGCTTCTCTAGGACTTTATACTACCATTTTGTCAATAATACTAATTAAATATTGATTACTTGTTGACAGGTCTGCTGTCTTTTTTATACACCTGTGTTTTTATATGCAACATATAATTTCACTTGTAATAAAACAGATACTATGTATGAAACACATACACGTGACCTATTTAATACAAAATAGACAACGTATAGTATATGCTATTATAGATACTAGAATTATTTTGCCCATAATACTAGATAGTTACATGTAGATTAGTTTCATAGTTTCATAGTTTTAGGGTCGGAAGGGACCTAATAGATCTTCTAGCCCGACCCCCCGCCAGGGCGGGAGAACAGCAAAAAACCCTAAAAACAAAAACGGGACTCAAATGAGTCCAGCCAGGTAGGCATCCAGCCTCTTCTTAAAGACCCCCAGGGTAGGGGCCAGCACCACCTCCCTTGGAAGTTGGTTCCAGCTCCTAGCCGCCCTAACTGTGAAGTAATTTTTTCGGATGTCCAATCTGTACCTCCTCTCCATCAACTTGTGCCCATTACTCCTTGTTATGCCAGCGGGGGCTAGGGGAAACAGCGTCTCCCCCAAACCCTTCTGGTTCCCCCTAGTGAGTTTATAGACGGTCACCAGGTCCCCCCTCAGCCTTCTCTTGTGGAGGCTGAATAGGTTCAGGTCCCGCAGTCTCTCACTGTAGGGTCTGCCCTGTTGTCCCCGGATCATGCGGGTGGCCCTCCTCTGGACCCTCTCCATGTTGTCCACATCCCTCCTGAAATGGGGCGCACAGAACTGGACACAATACTCCAGCTGCGGCCTGACCAGCGTCGCATAGAGGGGGAGGATCACCTCCCTGGCTCTACTCGAGATGCACCTGTGGATGCACGACAAGGTCCGGTTAGCCCTGCCAACCATGACCTCGCATTGTCGGCCCATGTTCATCTTGGAGTCAATAATGACACCAAGATCCCTTTCCGCCTCCGTGCTCTCAAGTAGGGAGTTCCCCATCGTGTAAGTGTGCTGCTGGTTCCTACTACCCAAGTGCAGCACCCTGCACTTGTCCGTATTGAAACGCATCCTGTTCCTGTCTGCCCACCCCTGTAACCTATCCAGATCCTTCTGCAATCTCTCTCTCCCTGCTAGCGTGCTCACCTCCCCCCAAATTTTGGTGTCATCAGCGAATTTAAACAGGTTGCTTTCCACCCCAACATCAAGATCGCTGATGAAGAAATTGAACAGCGCCGGCCCCAGGACTGAGCCCTGGGGGACTCCACTACCCACCTCCCCCCAAGTCGAGTATGATCCATCCACCACCACCCTCTGAGTGCGACCCTTCAGCCAATCTGCAATCCATCTGACTGTGTAGGCATCTATGCCACAGTCGCCTAGTTTACTAATTAGGATGGGGTGAGAGACGGTGTCAAAGGCCTTGCTGAAGTCCAGAAAGACTACATCCACCGCGACACCTGCATCCATGGCCTTTGTGACCTGATCATAAAAGGCAATCAGGTTGGTCTGACATGATCTCCCACTAATAAATCCATGCTGATTGCCCCTAGTTGTGGTGTTTTTATACACCTTCTACATTTTCATATGTAACACGTAAGATTATGCATAATGTATCTGTTTTATGCATAATGTACTTTATATATAATTGATGATACAACGTATATGCTATGATTATTTCTTCAATAGTACTAATTAAATATTTATTACTTTTCCCCTTGGTGGAGGTTGTGTTTTTGTACACCTCGTGTTTTTATATACAATATATATAATTTTATGTATAACAAGTTAGATACTATGTATAAAACACATGTACGTGTAACATACTTTAGACACAATAGATGATGCATAGCATATACAGTTACTTTGCCAATAAAACTAATGACCTATTTTGTCATTTGTTGTGTTTTTATACACTGCATATGTGCTTAAACATAATATTCTTATTCATACATGTGATTTACACATATGTATTTTATGCGTAATATATTGTACACGTAATCAATAACACGTAACATATACTATAGTTATCTTGCCAATAATAACAAAATGCAAATTATTTAGTTCTGTGTTATCTTAAAATGTTTTAGTGATAGTAGGGGTTTAGGTTTCACCCAAGGAACCTTGTCTGCTTATAGATAGTATGTATTTTTATATGCAACATGTTTAATGGATAAAAAGCATTTTACGTGTAATGTGCTGTATACGCAGCAGATGATACATAATATAAACAATATACCAAGAGCGCTACGTAATTGCGTGTTAGTTATTTTTGCCTCATTTGTTGTGTTTTTAATATGCAATATCTTTATACACGTTTTGCACATAATGTATTTTCTGTGCGCTTCCTCAAGTTCCCTTGCTGCAACTGGAGCCCATTGCTCATTTGATATGCAATAGGTGATAGACAAGATACACTATGCTCATTTTGTCGATAGTAATAAACCAGCACGTTGATTATTTCGCCTAGTTTGCTGTGTTGCTATACACCATGTGTTTTTAGATGTAATACCTAACTTTATGCATAATATATAGGTATTTCATACATTATACATGCTTTACAGAGACTACTAGGTTTTATAGATCATCGATCCATCATGCGTACTCTGATTGTTCTGCTAATGACAGCAATTAATTATAGATTGATTACTTCCATGCAGAACTTGATACTATTACATGCAATAGATATCCTACTCTTCTGCTAACCTATAGAGGTGCTTTTTAATGGCAGAAAAAGTGTTGTGTTGTATTGGTGTTGGACAAGGCACCCCCTGCACCCCCTCTTTCTCAGAATCCTACACGTGCCCCGGACGCCGGGGTTCTCTCCACCCAGGGAGGGGAGTGGGGGTTGCAGCAGGGGAGCCTGGACACTTGGGTTCCCACCCAACTCCAGAGAGGCGAGTGGGGACTGTGAGAGAGCCCAGACTCCTGGGGTCTCCCCCCAGCTTGGGGAGGGGAGTGGGGTGCCCCCCCAGTGTGGAGAAGGGGACATTGGTACCTTGCCATCCTTGTCCACGCCGGCCGCCTGCCCCGTGGCCACACGCACGCGGTCCGGATGCACTGCCAGGCTGGGGGAGAAAGCGGTGAGTTAGGACTTTGGGGGGCTTCCCCAGCCTGCCCCCCATTCCTGTGACCCCCCGCCCCCCCACGCAGTCGGTGTGGCGCAAGTAGTGGCGCTGGCGCCGGGCACTCAGGTCCAGCAGTACCACGGCACAGGCCACGAAGTAGACCAGCTCCCCTGAGCCCAGCACGTGCAGGTTGGAGCGCCCGTCCCGGCCCCGGTACCCATAGCTGCCCCGTGGGGTCAGGGGTCAAGGGGC